ACCATGGGCATCCTACAAATCGCAGTTCGAGGCCATCGCATCTGTTCACGGATGGAACGACTCAGACCGGGTGGGAGAGCTGGTTGCCTGCCTGAAAGGACCAGCTCTTGAGGTATTCACTCACCTATCGCCTGAGGATCAGATGCAGTATGGTCGTTTGGTGAGTGCTCTCGACCAGAGATTCGGGCAGACGAGCCAGCATCTGTGGTTCCGTTCTCAGTTTCGAAGGAGAGCCCGGAATCCAGGAGAATCGCTACCGTCGCTGGCCCAGGATATGGAGCGGTTAGCGGCCCTGGCGTATCCGGCGGCAGAGCAATCCTTGAAGGACTCTCTGGCATGTGAGCAGTTCTTGGATGGCCTGACTGACGTGGAATTGCAGATTGCCGTTCGTCAGTCGCGCCCCGTAAACTTACAGGAGGCGCTTACCACTGCCATTGAAATCGAGGCGATCCGAAAGTCTGCTGAGGCTGGTGCCGTTGGTGGATCGGGTTTCACAGCTCGGCAGGCTCGCACTGATGAGAAAGTTCTGAGTGATAACTCTGTTCCAAAGGCCAACAACACGGATGAGCTGCTGCAGGCCATCCTGCAGAGAATTCAAGCTCTAGAGGCATCGGTTGCCTCTCCCAATCCAGGACGGCGGCTCGGAGGACAGCGACGAACCTGGAGGAACTCAAATCAGTCAGATCCCGAGGGTTGCTGGCACTGTGGCAAAACGGGTCACATCCGGAGGTTCTGTCAGGAACGACGGACTCGAACACCAGGCAACTCGTACCAGAATCAGGGAAACTGAAAATGGCTGCCCGTGAGGGACAACGGTCAGCCGAACCGCAAAGCGAGTCCCCTCGTATTGTGTCCAGAGGAACAAGAGGCGCGGACAGCATCCAGGTAAATGGTTTTATCAATGGCAAGCCACAAGCTCTGGTAGTTGACTCTGGATCTAACTGCACACTCCTACGAGCTGATGTGTTGGAGAAGCCTGATCTGCCGGTGGTGAAAGAAGGCCTCTGTGACGTCACTGGTCGGCGCTCGCCACTCCGAGGTCCCACCACAATAGAGTTGGACATTGGTGGGCATCGCTTGCAGCAAGTGGTGTATGTAGCGGATGCAATTGAAGAACCCTGCATTCTCGGATTGGACTACCTGATAGAAAATCGATGCGAGCTCGACTTCAACAGCCGGACGCTGAAAGTCAGAAACACATTGGTGCCGCTTATCGTGGGTCCTCTGACGGCTGGCGGGCCACGAGCGTTCAGGGTCAGAGTAAAGGAGCCGTTGACACTCAACCCCAGTACGGAGATGATGGTGCCCTGCAAGCCGGAAGGCGAAGTGTTCGGTGCTCTTGGAATGGTGGACACACACGCCTCTCTTCCGAACGGAGTAATGACTGGCCGAACACTGATAGACACCACGCGGCCCTCATTCCACGTTTTGATGGCGAACCTGTCGGACAAGCCTGTGAAGCTTCACAGTGACACGTTAGTTGGGATGTGTGAGCCGGTGGAGGTTATTGAGGCTGATGTAGATGTGGTGAAAACGGAAACACCATCTCAGACTCGCCTTCCGGAACATCTCCAACCACTGCTGGATGGTGTCAGTCCTGACGTAACAGAAAGTGATCGAGAGCAAGTGCGAAAACTGCTCGAGGAATTCTCGGACGTATTCTCATCCAATGACGACGACCTGGGAAGGACAAACCTTGCAGTTCATCACATCAACACTGGCTCCCATCCCCCCATCAGAGTATCACCACGTCGCATCCCTGTGAACAAGCGGGAGGAGGCCACGAAGATGATTGAGGACATGGACAGACAGGGTCTCATCGAACGGTCAAACAGTCCATGGTCGTCCGCTCTCGTTCTCGTCAAAAAGAAGGACGGCACTCTGCGTTGTTGCGTGGATTATCGTGCACTGAATGAGGTCACAGTCAAAGACTCGTACCCACTGCCTCGTATCGATGACACATTGGATGCGTTAACTGGAGCCAGATGGTTTTCAACATTGGACTTGAAGTCAGGGTACCACCAAATAGGCATGGCAGAGGAAGACAAGGAAAAAACGGCGTTCTCCTGTGGAGGACTTTGGCAATGGAGGGTGATGCCGTTTGGATTATGCAACTCTCCTGCAACCTTCGAGCGGCTCATGGAAAAGGTCCTTTCGGGACTTCACTGGAAAACTCTGCTGGTCTATCTCGATGATGTGATCGTCTTCGGGAAGACACTGGACGAGGAGCTGCAACGCCTCCGCGAAGTCTTTCTGCGCATGCGTAAGGCAAATCTGAAGCTGAACGCAAAGAAGTGTCGATTGTTCAGGAAGGAGGTCGAATACCTCGGACACATTGTATCGCAGCATGGAGTCCAGACGGATCCAGAGAAGACTTCATCAGTTGCGAGCTGGCCCACACCGAGGAACAAGAAAGAACTTCGCAGTTTTCTGGGGCTCTGTTCATACTACAGGAAGTTTGTGCGGGACTTCGCTACCATCGCAGCCCCGCTACACGCTCTCACAAAGGAGAAGCAGATCTTCATGTGGGATGAGTCATGTGATCAGGCCTTCGAGAAGATGAAACAGGCACTCACAAGTACCCCCGTCTTGAGGTACCCAGATCCAGAGAGGGACTTCCTGCTGGATGCTGATGCCAGCAATCAAGGAATCGGAGCCGTCCTCTCGCAAGTCGAGGGGGGTCGAGAGCAGGTGGTAGCATATTACAGCAGAGCGTTAACTGCTTCGGAGAAAAACTACTGTGCAACCCGGAAAGAGCTCCTGGCTGTGGTGGATGCAGTACGTCATTTCCATCACTTTTTGTACGGCACCTCGTTCATCATCCGAACAGATCATTCTGCACTCCAGTGGCTGAAGAACCTGAAAGATCCTGAAGGTCAACTGGCCCGCTGGCTGGCAAGGATCGGCCAGTATGACTTCAAAATTCAGCACAGACCAGGCGCGAAACACCTGAATGCCGACAGCCTCAGCCGCCGACCATGCAGTCCTGACTGCACACACTATCGAAAAAGGGAGCCTGATCAGGTGGTCTGCCGAGTTGTGGGAGCTGCCGGGACGAAGGAGGCTTCTGACAAGGCGTCTGAAGACGACCTCATGACTAGGCAGCGGGCAGACCAGGACCTCGCCCCTATCATCAACTACAAGGAACAGGGACTGGATAAGCCCAACTGGGAGGAGATGTCGTCAGTGAGCAGTTGAGCACTGTTGCCAAGCGGCTCTGGGCTCAATGGGAAATGTTGCGTGTTCAGGATGGAGTTTTTCAGAGATACTGGGAATCAACAGATGGGAAACACAGGAAGTGGCTGGTAGTGGTACCCGCCAGCATGAGGGAAGGCGTGATGCAGGAGGCGCATGGATCTGTCACGGGTGGGCATTTCGGGAGCAAGAAAACACTGCAGCGCCTGAGAACCAGGTTCTACTGGGTTGGAATGAGGCGGGATGTTCAGGAGTGGTGCAGGGTCTGTGAAACGTGCACAGCAAAGAAGGGACCACAAAACGCACCACAGGCCCCGCTGCAAGTTCGAAATACAGGGGCCCCCATGGAAAGGATCGCTATCGACGTTGCCGGGCCACTGCCGACGTCGGCGTCTGGAAACCGCTACATTGTAGTAGTCATGGATTATTTCACCAAATGGCCAGAAGCATTTGCAGTACCAAATCAGGAGGCAACAACTGTGGCTCAGGTGCTCGTAGATGAGTTCTTTTGTCGATTCGGTATTCCATATGAACTTCATTCCGATCAGGGAAGAAATTTTGAAAGCAGAGTCTTCCAAGAATGCTGCAACCTGCTCGGTATACGAAAAACGAGAACAACGCCGCTGCATCCGGAGTCGGATGGAATGGTTGAAAGGTTCAACCGCACCATGGGCCAAGAGCTCGCCAAAAGGTGCAGAAATGGTCAGGAAGACTGGGACAAGCATCTGCCGACCATTTTGATGTCGTATCGCTCAGCGGAACATGAGAGTACCGGCTATACACCTGCGCAGCTGATGCTGGGAAGGGACCTGCGTCTCCCAATGGATCGACTCAGGGAGGCTCATGCCCGTGCACGATGTCAGCTAAGAATGACTTCTGAATCGATGAAGCTCCGAAAAGATATCAGAGCGACGACAGAGGCACTGGCTCCAGGTGACAAGGTGTGGCTGTTCAACCCGAAGCGCAAGAAAGGCCAAAGTCCTAAACTGATGTCTCCATGGGACGGTCCCTACGAGGTCGTTCAGAAGTTGTCTGCAGTGACATATCGGATCCAAAGGAAGAAGGGATCGGCCCTGAAGGTAGTACACCACAATCGGTTGTGGAAGGTACGAGGACCACCACATTTCAGCTGGCAGAACAGTGAGAAGACCAAGAGAACAGCGAGTGCTCCCCAGATGCCAAAGGAGCAGGAAGACCAGAGGCCTAAGACTGAAACCACGCAAAGCCCGCTGACGGCTTCAACGGCCCCAAGCAGCGTTTCTTCTGATAGACAGCAGGAGCACCAGGCCAGGGATCTGTTGAGAAGTGTGACTTCAGAGGATGTGGTTGAGCGGCCCGTTCATCGTCGAGAGCTTCGACGAGACCGTCGCCCTCCCGAACGGTTTGGGGATTACGTATGCCACATGGGTTTGGTGTAGATCTGGAGTTCAGTGGGAAAGTGGGAATGCCATTTAAAGTGATAGAGTTTCGGCAAAGCATAGCCCATGGGAATCCCCTGTTCGCGTAGGGGCTGGTGGTGCTGCACTGGGTGATATCTAGTCAGCCTAACTTTGGGAGCAGTTTTTTATCTTCGGTCGGTTTTCTCTATTGATGTTTTGCATAGTGAGTGCTGCGTCGGGTATGTTCTGACCAGCAGGTCACACCTCAGTGTGGTTCTGTCTCACTTCAGCTATTACTAGGCATGTCTGTCTCACCTGTTAAGAAGTGCTAGCCACGACGGGTAGTATCTGTCTGGCATTCCCACATATGTCCCCACACGAAGAGTACAGGTGTTTTTCCTTTCTGCCGCTCTCATTTTGTTCCAGGAGCTACAATGGGGGACGAAGGCGGTGAAGTTCTCAGCATCCTGAATGAGGAGGTCGAGGACTGGCGGGAGGAGCAAGGAGTCCGAGATGGGGAAATGCACGTCTTCCTCGGAGACTCTAACGGGCCCGGACTGGTGGACGCGGGTCTTGATGTTTCGCCCCCGGACATCATCATCAACCGCACTGAGTCAGGAAAGAAATGGACATCTCTGTCCATTATCGTTCGACGAGACATCAACTGGTGGCAGCTGGCGGCCCAGTCGTTCGGTTGCACGATGGGAGTGGCTGTCATCTGGCTGTCAGGTAACGACAGCTACCCGCACCCCAAGCGACCGCTGGAACCGCTTATCGGCTTGGATGCGCTGGAGGCCCACATTCTGCTGGTGTTGCGCACCCTGCGGGATGTCGCTAGACGCGTAATAATCGTGGGCCCCATCCCGCGTTTCCGCTTCGATCGCGGGCTCCCGTGGGAGCGCACCCCTGCGTATCAGGCGGAGCGGCTGATCGTGAAAATGTTACAGAGAGAAAATCTGACTCCGTCCTTCGCGGAAGTGTGCTGCGTGGGACGCTACTTCTCGGTGAGGGTGAGGTCCCGCCGCGTCGTTGGGGACAAATGTGCCCAACTGTTTGCAGATGACGGGATCCACCTCTCGTCGGCGGGCTATCGGCTCGTCCTGAGCAAGCTGCCCCGGTGGCTGCAGCCGGACGCTGGTGCCTAGACACACACACACAGTGATACTGATGTGAACGGACGCGATAGTGTGCTGGTCGTGAGGTTGTGTTTCGCATATGTTGCCGTCTGTTCCGAGGGCGGAACTTTTTGGGGGGAAGGGGGGTAGTGTAATGGACACTGAATGGGTGTCATACTGAAGTTTGGTGATTGGAGTGCGGCTACGTCCCATATATCCCCGATAGCCGAGTGGGTAGGGTGTCTGGACGTTTGGCCGGCGTGATCAGTCGGTGGTTGCCGGTTCGAATCCGGCCCGGTCCTTTGCTTTTGTACCGTGCGCCGAGTTTGTGTCCGTGCCGCGCTGTGATTGGTCGTGACATCTGACCCGAGGTCACGACCGGTGCGTGCCGGCGGTGGCGGTCAGTTTTGTGCGTGGCGGTGGCCGGGTAAGTGCGGGGACTCCTGTGAGGGGGACTGTTTGGGGAGGGCTCCTGTCCCGTCCGCTGACCGGTGCTGCTGCCTGGGTTGCTCCAGAGGTGCTGCCGGGCCCAGCCATCTTGCCGCTCTGCTGCCCGTGTGCTGTGCGACCTGGGGTAGCGGCTCAGACGTACATCGCCCGGGCTGTGGGGAGCGAGATTTGTGCCGCGGGTTGGGTTGTCGGAGGTGCCTCGGGTGTGGTCCGAGAGCCACCGGCGACTGATTCCGCCGTTCACCGTTCTTGCGTCGGCCGGCCTCGGGTAATTCCGGGACGTCCGACGTGGGAAATCCACGGCGGCTCTGTTTGGTGGGAACCAGTGGGTTTGGGGGGACTCGGGTTTATTCCGGGCCCCGGGTTAAGCGAAGGGACTGTCGGCCTGACTGGCATTAACGGGGCACAAATACAGGCACAAAGAGCGACACACTTTTTACTGCTGAGGCTGGACGGCGGGGTCGTCGGATTCTCCGACAAAGCGGAGCGACCGAGCACAACAATATTATTCTGAAAACATGTAAGATACTGGCCTAAATCCATCAGCAGGGGTAGGGGAGGATGGGAAAAGATGCCCAGGGGTTTTTATGTCATATATTTTTCGAAAATGACGCCCGGAAAGCAAAAACTTAGAATTTCAACGAAAGCCGACATCATTTTTCTCCACAAAATATCACACTTTCGTGCTTCAAACATGATAACGTCTTTGCTATTAATCGTTTTTCTGAAGTAGTGCAAGTGGGCATCCTACCCCAGAGGGTGGGAAAGACGGGTCCACGTCAAAACAGCTAGTGACTATTGAGCTAGTGACTTTTGAGCTAGTACAAAAGAGCTAGTGCTTCAAAACAGCTAGTGACAACACAGCTAGCGCCAAAATAGCTAGTAATGCAAAATAGCTAGTGCATTAAATCAGCTAGTGTCTAAACAGCTAGCGTCAATATAGCTAGTAGAGCAAAATAGCTAGTGCTTCATTATAGCTAGTCATAAGCGTAGGAACCATGGGTGCAGTGGGTGCAGTTGCACCCACAATAATTCTCCAGTGGGTGCAGACAATGTATTCTGCACCCACAATAATCTGGAACAAAAACCCCTTTTCTCATCAACACTACTTCCCATGCAGCACAACAAATTCAGGATATTTTGCCCACTTTCCACCTTTAGAAGCGTTTGCTACTGTGATGGTCTTCAAAACTTACATTTGCGCTCAAGTAAAAAAGGAAGCAACGGAACACATGTGATTGAACACATACCGATGACCCACTGTCAAAAGTTTTAGCCCGATACCTATCTTCGAAAATGGCTAAGTTAGCCGCATTTAGGTACTTTTTGCGGCAGTCAATATTGACATTATCAACGCTTCTAAATACACTTATCATCGGTAGGTACCTTTTCGACATGGTACACCCTCAACTCAAAGCTCACAAGGAGCCTCCGCTCGGGTGCCGCTCCCTACCCCCCCCCCCCCCGGCTTCACCGGCCATGGCTGGATTTCTGTACCCATGCACCCACAATGTTCCAGCCGTTCCTACGCCCATGTAGCTATAGAAATCGCTAGCGTCGACTAATAGCTAATAAGCAAAATAGCTTATTCGTAGAGCAGCTATTATAGATTCTTTCCCGACGAAGAGTCCCCACGGGTAGAAGGAGCAGAAGAGCACCGTAGTTTGACAAAATTATTTGGAATGCTAGGAGGGCAGAGGACGGGATCCCTAGGACAAACAACAAATTAGAAGCGGGGCACCGGGGAATTAAAAAGATGGCATATCGCGGGAAATACATATTTACAGTCATAGATATCGTGCATTTTTGAAGCGAAGTGAATGGGAAGGGAACAGAGGTCCAACGAAATTGCTATTTTGACGATAGCTATTTCGTCACTAGCTGTCTTGAGGCACTAGCTCTTTACGCTTCACTAGCTACTTTGACGCTAGCTGTTTTGTCACTAGCTGTTTCTAAGCACTAGCTATTTTGCTTCACTAGCTATTTTGACGCTAGCTGTTTTGTCACTAGCTGTTTTGAGGCACTAGCTGTTTTGTACTAGTTCAAAAGTCACTAGCTCAAATGTCACTAGCTATTCTGACGCCCCCTGGCGTTGGGGAAGATACCCCTCCTTAGTTTAACCCGCGCCCTGCTGGGGGTGTTTGAACACCCCCCCCCCTTGTGGTTTTTCGCGAATATCTCAAAAACGGCGGCGCGGAGCGCCGCCGTTTTTGGTACACCTTATCATACATCAATTCTACACATGTTGTAAGAATTTCAGACCAAGGTCATTCAAGATCAGGTCACCAGGTCACTTGAAGTGACCTCACCTCATAAAAACTTTCAATGTCTGTCATAGCTACACCGAGTGACCGATCGCTTTGAAATTTTCAGCGATTGCTAAGAGCAATAGCATGTACAAAATGTATATCTCAGAATTATGATATCGATGACCTAAGGTCAGGTCAATTTTGCGACCTCCCCATTAGGTATAAGTCAATGGGAGAAAATTGAAATTCGCCTCTTTGGATGAAAGACATTATAAACACTCCCAAACACTGAATTACAAGTGGTTTAGACACACTGAACATGAAAATGGTGTCCGTGACCCTTGTTTATGCCCTGAGGTCATCTTAGGTCACGAATGGTATCTAACAGTTTTTCGCAAATAACTTTTGATAGAGGCATGCTAGAGCGATGAAAACGCCTTAGATGTGTTCAGCTCGACGATACGGATCGACTGATATGCAACATGACCCTTTCCGGTCAGGTCATGACCTTGACCTGAGGTCAAATTTTCAAGTTGACCTTTCAAGGTCAAGTTATAGTTCATTCGATGCGTCTTGACGAGAGGAACACGATTCCGGTTAAAGTAAGCTCGTACAAGGCTTGGGTCAAAAGTTATTGCAGAAAAACTGTTTTCGAAAAAAAAATCGGCTATTTTTGCAGTATTTGCCCCCTGCAGGCAAAACCGTTGACGTTAGGTCAAATCTGAGAGAATTACCCAGAAAGGGCGTTAATAGGGCTATCGAATGCGCTTTTCCGCGGCGCTGTAGCTCTATTGGTTCCCGATTTATGCGTTGGCTTCTTGGAAATTTTCGACATTCGACCTGGAAATCGGCGAAATTTTGCCTTCAATGACCTCTGGTGACCTGACCTTTGACCTGACCAAAAAATTGACCGAAATGATTTCGTCATTATTTTTGACGCTCTTTCGAACGCCGCCTTCCGCGTATCGCTACGTGGCTCAGGAGCCGAGTTACAAGGGGGGGGGGGGTGTTCAAACACCCCCCCCCCCCCAGCAGGGCGTGGAAATCCAAGACCCCCAGCCGGGCGCGGGTTAAGTGACATAAATGGGCACGTGAATTGCCTGAACGAATCAATTTCCTTCTAGACTGTGGTAGACACTTCAACGCCATCGTAAGGGCCCTCCAAAGCCGTGAGGGGCTTCAGAGGTCATCGTGAGGGTCATCATAGTCTAGCGCGGCCAAACAAGTCTCCGTGGTGGCGTTCAAAGACCGTTGCGGGGCCCTTATAGGTCTTCATGAGGCTTGAGGGCCCTCAAGACCATCGTGGGGACATCAGATGCCAGCGCGGTCCGTGGAGCCAGCGTGGGAGCCCCCAAAGAATATATTGTGAGGGGTCTCGGAGCCAGTAGCCAGGAGCCTGCCACTAATAGGGTTAATGGGGCCCACAGAGGCCGTCGTGAGGGCTTTCAGGGTCAGATGCCGCACAAAAAGTCGCTGTGCCTGGGCCGAAAGACCGGCATGGCGAGCACCTGACCATATTGCGTTCTCGATAGTTCCAAATCGCCTTTAGTCTCTCACCTCAAGGATGTACGAAATGATTCGACAGTTTTTTTGAAGGGCAGGCTACGGATTTAGGGGGGCGTCTTTTTTCCATCGGGTCAGGGGACATCTTTCCCCAAGGTATCGAATTGACAATTAATCAGTACCTACAATTTGTTAGTACTAAAACTAAATCCTGAACCAAACTGGTTGGGACACAGTACTCGTACACGCATGTGAATGCATCACGACAATAGCAAAGTGCATAAAAATTATTTACCTTCTTTGATATTCATAATGTTTTGACACCAAAATATTTATCAGCAAATATCAAACATGCAGCCACCAGCCCACCGTTGCCCAACTGAGCTTTTCAATTTTGTGTGCAATAAACAATCAGTGGTTTCCGCATGCGATAGGATGAGCGATAAACGATAAACGATAATTATCGCTGTTAAGTAAATCGGTTATCGTTATCGTTTATCGCTAAATTTTCAAAATTATCGCTCATCCACTTATCGCAAGTTACAAAAATTATGAACGATAAACGATAAAGTGTAAAACGGGATGATGGAAAAATGGAAGACGATCGACAGTGTATGCCGCGCGACAGTATGTGTGCGCAACCTGTTGCCATCTGCTAAGTGTATAGATCTGCAAATAAACTTTAAGTACACTTATTTAAGCTGTATTTCTTATCGCTTTTGTTATCGCTGTTAAAAAACAATTATCGTTATCGTTGTATCGTTTATCGTTTCGTTATCGCTGTTAACAAAACCATTACCGTTATCGTTTTATCGTTTTATCGCTATCGCTGTTAATTTTTTGCAATTTTTTATCGTTTATCGTTTATCGTTATCGCAAGCCTTACTTATCGTTTTATCGTTATCGCAGGTCCGAAAATTAGTTATCGCGGAAAGCACTGTAAACAATGAAGGCTTCCGCTTTACGCTTTTCCAGGTTTTATTCTTTGTTTCGCCATTAGAGGGGATGGGGCGTCTTTCCCACCCTGGGTATCTTACCCCACTCTCCCCTACTGACCTAGTACCTACTACCTAGTACCTACTGATAGTTGATACCCAACCCAATACCCATGCACCGCGCTCCTACCACCTGCTCAGACGGCAGCGACTACTGCGTCATCTATAATAAATAGTAAGAACAGGTGGCGCTGTCTACGTCAGCTGGCCAGATATTAGGTTTTTTATTAGGTTTTATATTAGGATATGTTTTTTTTTTTGGCACTTCTGAACATCACATGTGAAAATAGATGGCAGCATCAGATTCCTGGGACAAAGCTCGTCTAGAAAAGTGCATTTTTATGTCAAAAACAAAAAAAATCGAAAAAGTAACCTTTTTAGCCCTGGCTTGGTGATGTATGGTATACACGATTTGTTATGCTTTAACACACACTGATGACCCGGACAGTGACATTGGGTCACATATAACCATGACCATCGGAGTCCGCGTGAAAAATACTCCATAAGACATGTGTCGCATGCCCACGTAGCAGAAAGTGACCTACCGTGACCTTTTGTGACCTGACCTGACCTTGACCCGTGCTTAGTATCACCCCTATACGCTGATGGTACCTTCATTTAGTCTTTGAAGTCATTTTCGGTGAGTTTCGAGCAGGAGCTATCGATTCCGCTGTCCGTAAGCGTCATCATGAAGAAGCCCCAAAATTTTACATTTGACCTGACCTTGACCCGAAAGTTGACCTCAATCTTAAACTATTAAGGTTGCTTTGGTAAGGTCTCACAGAGACCTTTCGAACGCCGCCTCACGGGGCTCGATACGACCATTGATTCTCGAGATAGCAGGGTCGGATCCGACCCCCCCCCCCCCAGGCTGTCGTGGGTACGGAAATAGCCCAGGCGGTGTCGGGTTAATTTGAAGCTATACCAAGTGTCAATTTCCTAGCTTATCAGACTTCAGATGTAGGGGATAGTGGGGTAAGGCGGTCAACGATATAACTTGAGACGTTAGAGTCATTCTTTCGAGGCTCTTCAAAAGTCACAGCGAGCGGTAACGTACTTTTTTAGACAGCTCACTTCTTATTGTCAGACGATGAGATTTGGAGCTGATGTAACAAGTTCATTGTAGCTTTTTTCTAAAACCATTGCAAAAAAAAAACGTGTTATCCCACACCAAAAGCCCATATTGTACAAGGCTGGTAATAAATGTCCCAGGCTGGCCGCATTGATGCATAATTTGGTGGTCTCAAGTGCTTCGGAAAGAGTTTATTCGTGCTTCGTGCAGTATACGTTTATTCGTTTATAGACGTTTTTTAGAAGCCTTGTATTTGTCTTTCTCTTTCATTTTTCTAGAACAAATTATACTTAGTAAATATTCGTAATATATTGAGATCCTCCAAAAAGAACACAGCTAAACAAAAATTGTTCCTTTTTTCCTATAAGGCATTTTAATATTTATGCCAAACAAAGACCCAGTGGATCATAATTGGCGTCCTACCCCAAACTCACCACCTGAAGTTCAGCTCCATTTTCTCCAAGGATCATTGGATGCAAGCAGACAAAGTACGGCAAATGAACACTGGTGGCATTTGTGTACACTGTAACCCACAGGGAATTGCGATTTCTAAGTCCATTGCACTGCACACAAAAACGTACACCATACACTCAATGTGTTTTCGATGAAGTGGATGTTTTTAAAGAAATGGCGAAATGAAAATTACTGGCTGAACACAAATTCGCCAGGCTTCAATGGTGTAGTATGTGGTGGAAAAGCCAGCTCCCATCCCAACTTTTCTTACTCGTAGTGCTATTGGTAAAAACTGCAGAGGGGTGACCGTCTTACCTACCCGGGAAGTCTTTTTTTATAAATTTAGTCCGAACCTTTTGATTGGAGGATTCACAAGAACAGAGCCCCCGCTAAGCGAAGCTTGTTGCGTTGGCCCTGCCCTCTACCCTCCGATCGCGCAATTCTGGTTCTATGGCAGAATTTAGAGTCCAAAGTTAAACGTGCGCACAAAGCCGCGCACGGCCGGTCCCCTCACTGACTTCTTGCCCCACTTTTCCCTATCACACAAACTGTTAAGGGGGTGGGGGTAACTTAATGCTCCCAGCGGCTCGTGGGTTTAAGTGACCATCCCACCGTAACATTTTACTCTTGAGTTGAGATAGCCAAATTGGGATCCCTGGCTTGCAATTACCGGTGTGGGCACTCACAATATCGAGAAATGATTTAATTCCAATACATTTAATTTCAAAGTCTGCAGTTTTCGGATTCTAAGGGGCTAATCCATTTGAATGCCCCCTTAGAATTTGTGACGCCAGCGCAGATCTAACGATTTTTAAATAATGTGCTAAATCCTTTGGTAAAACGTGGTGATATAGGCTGCTTTGCGCGCAACATTTGCCGCACTTTTAGAATGCCAAATTATTGCTTGCAAATGACGTCACAGGAACAGCGGAGGTCCCAACAAGTAAACAAAATTTAAAGTGTAATATCTTGAAAACCAATTAATATATTTCGGTGAAATTTGGTAGCCATTTGTTTTTGCTCTTTCCGAACCATCGTAATCACTTTTATGCCAATTCATTAACTTTTTTGAAGGTGGGAGGGTCACTTTAAGACTGTTCTACCTGACCGTCGCTAAGGACACTCGGGACGACGGCAGCTCTTCATCTGACACATGGAAAGTCTGTTCCAAAAGCAAGGCACGTCATTCCACCCGTCTGAGGTAATTTCCACACAGTCCTCATGTCCACCGCTACTACTCGGCTCCCCAGGCATCCACCAGGCTGTGGACACCGGCAGGGTCCCGACCAGACCGTCGGTCCCCACCCAGACGCCTTCAATCTTGTTCACGCCGAGCCAAGCCTGGCCTGCAGCTGACATGTCTACCATACACTGGTGCTCAGTCTCGGTACGGGGCACGGCCAGGTGGGCGCCCAACGCCGCGCAGGCCGCCTGACCCTCAGCGAAGGTTGTCTTTTGACTCAGGATGGACAGACAGCGGCCGGCGCAGCGGCTGAAGCCGGCCGGACAGGCGCACGAGTCAGTCGTGTTTCCTGAGAACGTGAGAAATTTTAGTAAACGTATGTTGATTTGTAGTTGTTTGATAACTCTATCGCGAAAATATAATTAACTGAAACTCTATGAAACTCTCACGGAAAACCGTTTTCTGTTTGCTAATATTCACGCTGAAACTGAATGAAATAATATAAAACGAAACCCTCGCTAAAGTTCTCTGAAAACTCACACTGAGAGGAGACGCTGAAACTATGTGATATGATTAGTGCTATAAATTATGTGCTATTACAGTTACGTCCATCAAAGATCTCAATGCATCTTAATAGCCGTTTTCACGACGGCCATCTGGCACACATTTGGTGCACATCTGGTGCAGATTAGGTGCAGATTTGGTCAAACTTAGGTTCAGTGTGTCTCTTAGTAGCTATCAGCTAGGGTTGTACTAATTGCTTATATGCATGCTTTGTCATATTATCAGAGAAGAGCATCATCGATTAAAACACTGAAAATAAATTCATAAAGTAAAGATATTTGCTGTAAAAGAGATTAGGTGCAGATTTGGTCAAATTAGGTGCACTCGCCGAATAGCCCGTCGTGAAAACGGCTATTAAAAGTTATTTCTACAGATTCATTGAAAACTTTCACTGAAACCCACGGAAACTCATTGTAACTAAAAAAAAATACCATATTTCACTGCATTAACAAAACTCATCAAACTAAAACAAAACTTAAAAATGTCCAACCAAATCTCAATAAAAATCACTGAATCTCACTTCAACTCACCGCAACTCTCTGAAACTCTCTTAGACTCACCGGGACATCCATCAAAGTCCTGGCGCTGGAAACCAGATACCTGGACAGCCACATCCGGCACTGGAGTGGCGCAGTTGGGACAGGCTGGCCGGCGACTTAAGTTGAAGAGATAGCAAAGGCCTTCGTGGTACGTGAAGCTACCGCACGCCCACAGTTTTTTGCTTGTGCAGAAGGCCGCGCAGGTCCTACGGGAGGCCTGTGCAACTGTGATGTCGGGAGGGAGGATGGATGTGTTGGTGCTGCGGTGGTACAAAAAGGCAGCGCCTTGAGCGGAAAGAACGCCAATCAGCAGTAACAGAGACAGGACCGCACTGGGGGCCGCCATGGCGGAGCGACGCGCAGTGGGACGGTCTCGTGCCGCTGAAGAGGGAACAGCGAGTGAGCGGTGGTTGGTTCAGTCGGGCTCAGAAACGCTGCATTTGCACCGTGCAATGCATCCAGGGCGCCGTTAATGTTTGCGCCATGAAACATTAGAGACTTGATCAATAAGCGGTGTGTCCACTTTGTGTCATATAATATTCATGTAATTAGGTACTAATATCGCAAGAATCTGGGTCCAAAGTGAAATATAGGTACCAAAATTTCAAACGGCTATCACCACATGTCTGTTTTAAAGACCTAGAAGCACAGGGGGATATGTAGATGTTCATACTTAGCACATGGAATACGACATGTGAAAATGTGTGTTCACCCCATTTTGGTGCTTAAATACTACATAAGCATGTGTAAAATGTGCATTGGACAGCCAGAAGCGGATGGATAAACTGGCCTCAGCAGGAAGCCTGGAACCATTTCCCTTTGAAGACTTATGGCCCCTTTGAAGGCTTGTCTTTTAGCATGACGCTTATCGCAGTACCTACATGCAAACTAGACGGGCAGGCGGGCCGATAGTTACGTAACGCCTACTCCCTACCAAGGTTTAAACAAATCCATTGAATAGTGCACGCAAAGAAATAAACACTCTACCACCAGCCGGTGATATTCCGCACTGGCGAATTCAGAAAGGCGGTCTTGAGCGCTGATGAGGGCCGAGGGGATATCCCCAAAAAAGTTCTCAAATTCCAAAAACTCGTCAAATTTTGATTCTTTACGCACTGCTCAGCAGTTTAGAAAAATACTTTACTAATAAATGTTCTTTAGTTTTCGTTTTATTCGTGAACACCCGCACATTTTTGTTGATTTCGGGCGCTGCAGGGGGGGGGGGGGAGGAGGGAGTTGCCCCAAATGCCCCTCCCCTGGATCCGCAAGTTGTTTTAACTATTCCGGTCTGATCTTCATTTCCGACTTTTTTTTAGTGATTTCAGTCCTTTCCGTTTCCACGCACCCCACCATATTCCGCTGGTGTTCGAGCCCCCATCGGCACCCAAATATTGTCCATCGATATTGACAAAGCCACAGACGTAGCACCACCAGGCACCTTGATACTCTTGGGCACAGCTGTCCTGCCAGCCATCTTGGTCCCGGTCGTGGGTGGAAAACCTGTGTTTAACACTGCTTTGGAGACAGACTATTACCGGCGTTTCCTGAGTAGTTGGATACACTGAGCCTGTATCCGTCCGACTCTGAAGAGACGCTGAAGCTGGTGTAAACGGCGAAAGCTTGGTCACCATCGAACGCGTCGAGGTCCACTCTCAGTATGTACTGCCGATCTGAAACGGAAGTCAAGTGCCAGACGTGTTCAAGTCCCTACCAGAACTCCCCAGTCAGTTCTCCGAAGCCTGTCTTGTAGTCGCTCCAGCTGCGGTAGAAGTTCTTTGCGCGGTCTGATGTCTGTGCGCTGCATGACCGTCCAGCCTCTTCCGAAGGCATTGCCTTCGGCACTGCACTGCTTTGCATTGAGCTGGTTCCGTGTTTTTTACATAATGACGTCACTTTCAGTGACTATGTAATCCCTGGACATTATGAACTCTGGCCCATGCAAGGCACTGGCCATTTTGAGCACTAGACACATCGTGCCCTGGACATTATGAACCCTGGCCATTTCGAACACTGGACACTTCGTGCCCTGGACATTATGAACCCTGACCATTTCGAACACTGGACACATCGTGCCCAGGACATTATGAACCCTGGCCTATTTGAATATACCCTATCTGCGGCCAGTTGGCCGCATTTGGACCATGCAATCCCTGGACATTTTTGCACACCGAATTATGATCAGTCTCATTCAACTGAATAACGTTTGAAAATAACTAGTTAAAGACTGGCCTGAGTCACCTTGAGTTATATCCCCCGAAAGAATGCTAGCAGGATATGTGCACATCCTGTACTTTATACCATAATCTACTTTACGGATACTACGCATTTTATAATATACTTTGCAGTTATACTATACACATGCAACCCGCACCGTGCTGGTGGCCTGAACTTGACGCCAAGTGCTGGGAGGGGGGGGGGGCGTTTTCACGCCCCTCCCCGTCTAACTCGGCTCCTGGGCCACGTAGCGACACGCGGTAAGCGCCAGCGGCAATCGAAAGAGCGTCAAAAATAAGAAAGAAAACACATTGCTCATTTTAAGGTCAGGTCAAAGATCAGGTCACCAGAGGTCATCAAAGGTCAAATTTGATCGATTTCAACAATTAATATGAAACACTCGACAGCTTGGTCGGGAAGCAATTGAGCTACAGCGCCGCGGAAAGCGCATTCGATAGTGCTTTTAACGTTCTTTCGCAATCGTGTCCTCAGATTTGACCTCAGATCAACGGTTTAGCCTCCGGAGTGCAAAACCCCTAAAAATAGCCCCTTTTCACGAACAATGTCTTTTGGTAATAACTTTTGCCTCAGGAGAGCCACGACATTACTTTTACCAGCATCGTGTTCACCTCGTCAAGACGCGTCAAATGAACTATACTATCGTCTTGAAAGGTCATTTTGAAAATTTGACCTCAGGTCAAGGTCATGACCTGACCGGAAAAATTCATGTTGCGTGTTGCTCGACGATACGGATCGATCAGTCGATCCATATCGTCGAGCTGAGCACATCGACGTGTTTTCACCGCTCTAGCACGTCTCTATCATAAGTTAAAATAAAAAAAAACTGCTAAAGACCTTTCATGACCTGAGATGACCTCAGGGGCACACAGAGGGGTCACAGGTGCAATTTTACGATTCAGTGGGTCATGTTTACCTGTGAACTGATGTTTGAGAGGGTTTAGAACGGTATTTGTCCAAAAGAGGCGCATTTGAATTTTCCCCCATTGACTTACATATACCTAATGGAGAAGTCGCAAAATTGACCTGGCCTTAGGTCCGAGATGTAAGAAATCCGAAATATAAATTTTTACATGCTGTTACCATGGATGAAATAATACTCATCCATGCCATGGTGTTATCTCATCCATGCTGCTACCCTAATCCATCCCCGAAAGTTTCAAAGTGATTCAAAGTGTAGGTATATTTCCTTGGGGCCCACCTACCCTGTAACTTTGGCGTTTCTAAAAGCCATAGAAGCCAATCGCCAGGGGGTCGTACCCCCTCCTAATGACGTCCGCGTTATGAAAAACGGCCCCGACTGGCGAAGGTTTTAGCGAAAAAAAAAAAACAGAAGATGGCATATTCGCCGAAACCTGCTTTTTATTCTGCATGGCATTTATGAAGCATAGTTACAATGCAAGGCCTTGGATCGGGCAAAGAATCGTTTCAGGCAAAGAAAAACGTCTGGCTGCCATAAACTTTACTATCATGGACTTGGACTACATGGACTTAATCGAAAACGCCATAATCGGAGCTGGAGTCGGAGTCGGAGTCGGAGTCACCCAAACATGCATCGACTCTGCAGCCCTGGACTAATGAGTACCTACGGATTACGTAACTTATAATAGCTGTATAATAGGCATCGCCTGCCCGTCCCACTTGCATATACCGCGATAAGCGCCATGCTTAAAATCAAGCCTTGAAATGGGCCATAGGTCCACAGGGAAATCGTCCCAGGATTCCTGCTGAGGCCAGTTTATCCATCCGCTTTTGGCTGTACAATAGGTACACATTATACCTACACGTGCTTATGTAGTCTTTAGGCATCAAACTGGGTGAACATACGTTTTCACATGTCGTCTTGCATATGCAAAGTATGAACATCTACATATCCACCTGTGCTTCCACGGTCTTTAAAACAGACATGTGGTGATAGCCTTTTTGGAATTTTAGTATATTTGACTTTGAACCCAGATTCTTGCGATATTAGTACCTAACCAGTATAACGCCTTTTGGGGCGACTAATGGAGCGAGCGAGAGGGTGGGCCTTGCACGTGCGAAATTTCGAGGGGGTACCTTCAACTGTCTTGTGCATGGCACCTTACTAACCGAACCGGTCTCTAGCGATGTGCCAAATTTGAGCACAATCGGCCCAGCCGTTCTCGAGATCTGGAAGCGGCACCATGCACGTGCACACGTGCAAAATAGGCCCCAATTGACTTGTGCACGGCACCCTACTAACTGGTCCCTAACTGTGTACCAAATTTGAGCGCCATCGGCCCAGCCGTTCTCGAGATCTGGAAACGTCCCCTGACCCCTGCACGTGCGCACGTGCAGCAGCACCCCAACTCTGGCACATGGATATTCAGTGCCTAGTGGGTGCCTACCTACATGCCAACTTTCAGCGCAATCGGCCAAGTAGTTACCGAGATATTGCAACAATTATGTACAAAACTGACACCTCTTCGTTTTGCACGTGGCACGTGCATAAGGGGTCACCCACATGCATCGGGAATAGTCCAATACTTGGTAGAAGGAATGAAGCTACCCTACAAAGATTACCGCATGCAAATCGGTCAAGTGGTTGCTGAGATATAAGCCTCGCAAAAGCGCCCGCACGGCCGGCCGGCCGGCCGCTCATACTCAGCAATTTCCGTTAATCTAAGGAGACTACGCTCGCTTCGCTCGCTCCGTAATTACATGAATATTATATGACAGAAAGTGGACGCACTGCTTATTGATCGAGTTTCTAACGTTTCATGGCGCAAACATTAACGGCGCCCTGGAGACATTGCGCGGCGCAGGTGCGGCGTTTCTGAGCCCGTCTGAACCAACCACTGCTCACTCGCTGTTCCCTCTTCAGCGGCACGAGGCCGTCCCACTGCGCGTCACTCCGCCATGGCGGCCCCCAGTGCGGTCCTGTCTCTGTCACTGCTGGTTGGCGTTCTTTCCGCTCACGGCGCTGCCTTTTTGTACCATCGCAGCACCAACACATCCATCCTCCCTCCCGACATCACAGTTGCACAGGCCTCCCGTAGGACCTGCGCGGGCTTCTGCACAAGCCAAAAACTGTGGGCGTGCGGTAGCTTCACGTACCACGAAGGCCTTTGCTATCTCTTCAACTTAAGTCGCCGGCCAGCCTGTCCCAACTGTGCCACTCCAGTGCCGGATGTGGCCGTCCCAGTGTCTGGTTTCCAGCGTCAGGACTTTGATGGCTGTCCCGGTGAGTCTAAGAGAGTTTCAGACAGTTGCAGTGAGTTGAAGTGAGATTCAGTGATTTTAAGTTAGATTTGGTTGGACATTTGTAAGTTTTGTTTTAGTTTGAAAAGTTTTGTTAAGTTGCAGTGAAATATTTTTTTTGTTACGATGAGTTTCGGTGGGTTTCAGTGAAAGTTTTCAATGAATCTGTAGAAATAACTTTTATTAAGATGCATTGAGAGCTTGGATGGACGTAACTCTGTAATAATAGCACATAATTTATAGCACTAATTATAGCACATATGTTTCAGCGTCTCCTCTCAGTGTGAGTTTTCAGAGAACTTTAGCGAGGGTTTCATTTTATATTATTTCATTCAGTTTCAGCGTGAATATTAGCAAATCGAAAACGGTTTTCAGTGAGAGTTTCATAGCGTTTCAGTCAATGACATTTTCGCGATAGAGTTATCAAACCACTAGAAGTCAACATACATTAACTAAAATTGTTCACTTTCTCAGGAAACACGACTGACTGGTGCGCCTGTCCGGCCGGCTTCAGCCGCTGTGCCGGCCGCTGTCTGTCCTTCCTGAGTCAAAAGACAACCTTCGCTGAGGGTCAGGCGGCCTGCGCGGCGTTGGGCGCCCACCTGGCCGTGCCCCGGACCGAGGCTGAGAACCAGTGCGTCACCGACCTGTCAGCTGCTGCAGCTAACGCTTATGCCTGGCTCGGCGTGCAGCTGGTTGAAGGCGTCTGGGTGGGGACCGACGGTCTGGTCGGGATCGTACCGGTGTCCACAGCCTGGTGGTGGCCTGGGGAGCCGAGTAACTTAACTGGTGATGAGTACTGTGTGGAGTTTACCCCTACCGGTTGGAATGACGTACCGTGCCATAGGCTCAAATTTTCCATGTGTCAGATAAAGAGCTGCCGTCGCCCTGAGTGTCTTTAGTTAGGGTTACAGAGCGCATACGGTAAAGCCCTATCCGCCTACATGTCCATTGCGGGTACGCTCCGTATGTGATGCGGTCTTTTGGCAAAAAATTCCGGCAGACGGCTATTTATCTGTTGGTAAAACTGGCCTCTAAACTCCACTGGGAAGTGACCTAAACCGTTCCTGATGGTCTTATAGCCAACACTATTGTGTTTGAAATGAAAAATTGGCAATAAAACATGCATTGCTCAGCCCTAGTAAAATAAGGTTCATGTGCTGACCCTTGGTGACCTGACCTCTGATCTGACCTGACCTGGTATAATCAGTGACCTCAAAAGCAACTACGTACTAGGCAACTGACGCCCTATTGCTGATTTTCGATAAAATGCGTTTTACTCGATGTTATAGCGCATTCCCCAGAGGACCAGTGAACGCCAAAACATTTTATTTTTGACCTGACCTGTGACGTCATCGGTGACCTTCAGGTCAATGAAATTTGATTTCCCTTGACATGTTTGACAGGGCTTTCGAACGCCGTTTGAATTTTGTGTATCCGTCCAGTAGTTTTGGATATATGAGGGGACGGGGCAAAAAATAGCCCCCCCTCCGCCACGTCGCGTTATAAACAGACCCCACCAGGGCGCGGGTTAACCCTCGCCCGTAAACGGTGTTTTGCCACCTTCGCCCATGCAGAGGGGGGGGGGGGTTGGTGCGACCCCCCCTGGCGTTTGAAAACGGAGCGTCGTAGAGCTTAGCGGAAAAGACCAACGGATTGCTCTCAACGAGATCTCGCGATTGGTGGTATATTTTTTGGTCCTAGGTCAACATTTGACCTACTTATGACCGGTCAAAGGTCAAATTTTCGGAAAAATCTAACTTTTTCAGATTTCCGCGCCGATTGCGGCAAAACGGTAAGCGATATCGACTTAAAACCTTCACTATCGTGATCCTTGATCAATTCTCTGTCGTTTGGTGTATATTTCGATGTCATAACTCTAAAAATGATGCGTTGGGAGCATCGGAAGTCTGCAAGGTCATTTGTGCATTGGGTCACGTCAGGCGTGTGACGTCACTGACCTGACCCTGACCCAAAATGAACTACAAGAAACAACCGACGATGCCTGAAATGGATAGCAAATTCGAATTCAGGGCATCAAAATACCCGATATGGGTTCCTTTCTTTTCCTTGCCACTCCTTCCTGTGACTGTTTACTTGGTGAAGGGAACCAACCAGGTAAGTAAACCAGGTAAGTAAACCCCGAAAAGGCATACAAGTGCAAGAAGCCATTACAGGTCAACCGAGGTCACTGACCTTACCTTGACCTTTAGTAACCTTCAAAATGTCAACGGACATTGTGCCAATGTCAAATCAGCCAGTTGTGATTCTAAAACAATCCATCAGTGTGTCAGGTCAGTCGGCATTTATACCAATGTGAAGCAATCTCCAATTTAGCGTAAATCTGGCCGGAGGTTGTTCCCTTTATGACGTCATAACTCCGTGACCTGACATGACCTTGACAAAAAAAAAATTACCAAAAGTTGCGCAAAGGATGCCCCAAAGGGTACTGAAAATTTGAGCAGGCTATCTGAAACGGTTCGGCGTGTAGCTAAGAAAAACCTCAGGGGGGGGGTTGCACCCCCCCCCCCTTCATGGGCGAGGGTTAATGACTGGGGCATTTTCCATAACACTGCTGACGGGGGAGGGGGGTCTACAGAGCCATCCGTCCTATCTCCAAAACAACTGGGCTGACTGTCAAAATTCAAACGCTGGCTACAGGCTAATAGCCCCGGACAAACCGCCACGTGAAACCTAATTTCATTGTCCTCGAGGTCATCAATGACGTTAAAGGTCAGGTCAAAGTAAAAACTATCAGAATTTTGGCTTGTTCACAATTTAGGCTCTGGTCGCCGGCTAACATATTCGATAAGCCTCATTTTCGGTTTGCGCACTCGTTGATATGTGCCGAAGATCCCTTAGGGTAACAAACTTGTTACCTCAATTTTTTCAGGTCAAGACCAAGTCACTGTAGGTCACGGAAATTTTATATCATGTATCGGTCACGTAACACATGTTTTATGGTTCATTTTACTCATAGATCTCAAAAACAGTAGCGTCTGAGTCATTTGAGGTCATTTTCAGCTGAATTTAGCTGAGGTCAAGTCACTTTCATGTAAAAAAAATCAGCTTTGGAAAAATGATAGTTGTCAACAAAAAGGTGTCTGCCAGATGCAGTTTAAGCTCCGGAACACGATTGTGCTATTCATATTACTGTTCGACGTCAAAAATGCACTGAAAATAAATGGAAACCTGGTCCCTATCCAATAAGACAAAAACCCGTGCTCCGGACAGCATCTGCCAAATAGCACAGTAAAAGTTTTGTTTTGTTTTGTTTTGGTTACGTCTTATATCACTAGAAGTGGCAGTGTATATGGATTGGCGCGCAAGAGGTGTGCACTGTGCACGGGACTGACCAAATAAATGCGGGTCGGTCCGGTGACGCCACTGCGGATTCAGCAGCCAGTGTTAACCGAGTACCGCCAGCCATGTCCCTCCCGTCTTAGGGGAAGTTTTCTCAGTGGAACTACCTAGGAATTCCTAGGTTTTCCTAGTGGGTAGTTTACTTAGGGATATTCTCACTTTTAAAACTGAAACAGACTCTTTCTGCAGCCAGGAAATTGCATGCGAGAACCCATCCAAATACATTAGATCACGCTCATTTCAATCAGTTACATATTTCTGTGCGAACAGTTGAGGCACGAGAAATTTAGTATACATTTGAATAGGCTCTTGTATGCCATTTCCTGACTGCGGGAAGGGTCCGTCTCAGTATTTACGTCAGCTATATACGCTGACGTCACACTACATTGGTCGCAAGTTACCACACAAGCTAAAATAATTCTCCTGTCGTATAGTCTTGCTCATCGAGCAAAGTGCGTTACTAACGCTGTGAACTTCCCTTTATTCAATAAATGCATACTACATTGGCAAAAAACTTTGTTTTGGTTACCCATAAATCGGGCAGCTGATCCTTATAATAGTCACGCATTCTTCGATATGTTCGGCTGGCAATGAAAACGTAGTTCTCAGGCACATCAAGAAGTCGCGTGATTCGGTGACTTGCCACGCTGTTTCGTGCAAACTATTGAAGAAGACCAAAAACACTTAAATGCTTATTTTTCGTTTGGTCTTGTTAAGGCCTGGCTACACTATGCGTTTTCTCGTGCGTTTTTGGGGGGTTTGCGTGTTTTTCGTAATATCCTTCTAGAAAAAAAAAATGATATAACATTTTTAATAAGTTTTTGTATTAAATTTTGGCTAATATAAGTTATATTAACTTTTGTATATAACTATTATAAAAGTTATATCATTTATAACTTGCTTCTAGAACGATATTACGCAAAAAACGCAAACCCTAAAAAACGGACGCAGAAAACGCATAGTGTAGCGGTAGCCAGGCCTTCAGCCACCTGGGAGATTCACTAACCTGAATGGCTATATCTATCAAATGACTGAAAATGGTTGGGAAATCGGTATTTTTCACGAAGTCAGGTAGTTGATACCAGGCATAGCAGCATGGCTATGGAATGGTAATCGTACACTACTTACAAGTTCATTCGCGATCATTAAAAATTAGGCAGGTAATAGATAATTGAAGCATCGTCAAATACAGTTAGACGTGGTATATCATCCACAATAAGTTAGCGAAACTACGTGTTGTAGTTTTCTACAGTATCAAAACTATGACGGTGTTGGAAAAATGATGATCGTCCTAGTTATACCTACATACATATACTCGCGACATTAGCAGCGTATCTGTTTATGATTAAATCACTGATGAATTTTATGAATTATTGCATATGCTTTATGAATATTTGCATGTCAGTTAAGTCGCTTTGACCCCCCCCCCCTTCCCCGGCCTCACATGCATTGGGTTAGCTCACCATGGGAAAAGCAGCAAGTGATATTTTTCGTATATTTTCTCTCAACTGCCAGGCGATCAACGTTAACAACAGCTGCCGCACACTGACATTTCACACAAGACATTGCCAGCACTATAACAAATAAATAACAGACAATACGATGAGCTACAAAGCAGGCAAAACTGCGAAAAGCATGATTATCTAGTCATCACGATTTATCTACCACATTAGCACTTGATTTATTATGTTCTTTCTCTGACGCTTATTAGATACTACGATGTTTTATTGACAGGTAAGTACGCATTCGTGTAAAACAAGTTTTTGAATTCTTCTTGAGGCAGATGGAGAGCCTTATAAATAGGGATGACTTGATTACTTTGCCCTTCGTCGAAACCAGTTACTTCCACACATTATTGAGATAAAGCTATCTGCAGAAAAAAGAAGCTGTTTATACTTTTATGAAGAACAAGCATTGCATCTCGATTTTTGAGTATTAGACATAGATCACTTTTACCTTTTGTTTCTGATCAGCTCAGTCTTTCGTAAATAATGACATATCTGAAGCAAATTCGCAGCTTCTGGCCACAGCAGCACAACACAGTTGGTAAACGCTATACACTGTACATTACTCACGCAAGCAAAAGCACGATGCTTCACACGCACGAAGCTTGCCATGAAATCAACGCTAGCTTAGCACTAGACTCGTCAAATGCTTATGCTATAACACACGCGTAGTCTCCACAAAATCAACACTGGTTTAGCACTGGGTTTGTCTAGATACGCGAGGGTGGCGCACATTACACAGTAGTATATAACGACTGCACCATTGTTGCTACCATATCGCGACCATGGCGTAGCGTGGCGTATACCATAGCGTATACGCATAGGTAGGTACTCGCCGTGGTCAAAAGGCGCCTTCATAAGAACAGCGCGATTATCAGCAAAACGCACAACTCTCCATCTATTCATGTAAATACAGCAGTATGTCCTGTTCGGGCCACACTTTATTCTCTTTAGTGAACACCTGTTCCGTACAAACTTAAGGTCAGCTATGTAAAAAACTTATTCAACTGAACACTGCAGAAGCGTGCACAAAAGCCACCAATGCACAAGTCTTCAGCTGTGCAATGTGCACAAGTTTTACTTTACTTCATGTAACATGTGACATCCGCACATGTCCTTTGCTTCGGGTCGGTTTTTGATTGATCATATTACCATATTACCAGCAGAAGACGACAAATACAATGCAATATTATGTTCACGATGCGTTGTTTCTTCATCGTGTCAGTGTGCAAACCTGTCAAAAGCAAACAAAGCGTGTTAGTATGTTTATACCTCTAACACCTAACGGAATCCAAACCAGTCATGGTTTTCAGCTCAGATGGATTTGAGACAGATGGATAATAGTAATGAGATGGTCAAGCTAAGAGGCTTGGAATGGAGCCTTGAACTTTGGAAGATGCGATGAAGGTGCAGACATGTGTCATGGCGAGTTTTGCGACAGCATTAAATTTAGGATTTGGGCCCTTTCCCTCCGTTCGTCAAGTGTAGACTGTAGGTAGAAACATTCGGCAATTTAAAATGAATGTAGCCAGGACGCAAAAATATTCGACAAGCACCTCAGTAACAAGGATGGAGCCGGAAAAGGTCACCAGGCCTACATTTCCTCAGGAGGTAGTGCACAGAAAGCCATTCGCTGCCCATCTTTTACCCAGGACCGTCTGAATGTTTCACTGCCGCTAATATCGGGACAGCACAATAGTTCTCCTGTCAGATGATAGGTATTAGGTTATCATGATTAAAAGCTTCTCGCCTAAATTCAGCCGGAATGGGTTCTCACCTGCCCGGGAGCCATTGTGACCAGAAGGCGTCCCTCTTCCGCGTCTGTTTCTCCTGCCGCTCACTAGATGACAGCACTGAGCCACCGGCACCAGCGGACGCCAACAGGGTGGCCGCAGACGAGTCGTCTGCTTGGTCAGATGAGCTGGAAGGCGGATCGTCATAGATTAGAGACGGATTAGTTACGTCTAGCGAGTCGAATTTAGACGCGTCTTCAAAATCCAGCGTCGACATGTCGAAGGAGGAAAAGTCGTCGTAGTTGTCTGAGTCACCAAGAGATGTCGCTGTGTTTGCATCACCCTGAACATTTGAGGAATCAGCACGAGACTGGTCTTGGTCGATGAAGCTCTCGACACTGGATATTCGTCCATTGTTCTGGAGGTTTCCCAGGTCGAATTCGGCCACAGAGGAGCGAAGGTTTCCCTGGATAGGTGCCTCAACTAGTTCGAGCGTAAATACGCCGTTTTCATCGAAGGTCATGCCGTCAACGATGAATTGTCCACCATTTGTGACGTCATCAAAGGCAGCTGTGGCGTCAGAAGTGCTGGTTATGACGTCACTGCTGGAAGGACCAGTGAGGTCCGGTTCGACAGAGGAAAAGTCAGCAGAATCAAGGAGTGAAAACAGGCCCTCGTCAAAAACGCTGCTCTGAGACCTTGTGCTAGTGACGTCGCTGCTCCCTGTGACGTCATTGAAGTCATCGAAGGAGTCGCCATTCGTGGTTTCTCCATTTACATCTGTGTTGAAATCTGATGATGTGCCGCTATCCAGAGTTCCAGAGATGAGGTTGGTTGAATCATCCGAACCGACGTTATTGAGATCGTCGCTGATAATGCTGATGAATTCATCATTTATAGCGGCTTCGCCGTTGCTGGTGATCAAGTTGTCTGAGTTCACGCTGACGAAGTTGTTTGAGTTGCCGCCAACGTCACTGCTCGTGCTGATTGCGCTGACGGTACTCCCGCCATTGAAACCATTCCCGCTAGCATTGTCTATTGCGGTGGGAGCTGTCTGTGTAAAAGCTGGCGTGATGTTGGATCCTGTCGGCTGTAGAAGACCGTCCGCACTTCCAACTGTTCGAATATCAATTACGCCCGATATCTGGTCATCCGAGGTAGATGACGCCACCTGTCCGTTGTTTGTTATAGAGGACGCTGCTGTCGTTGTTTGAAGGGAAGGCGAGAGACCAGCGTCTGGGTATCGGTATCCCTGTTGGCCATTTGAAGTGGTCAGCAGGCTGCCGCTGCTCAGAATGTTGTTGTTGGTCTGGACAGAGTTGGTTCCGGTATTGCCTAGCTGAGTAACGCCGAGAAGAGGCTGCTGATATTGGCTGCTTGATAGAACGTTGACGAGCCTGTTGGCAGTGACGACGTTCTCCTGCTGGTTCGTGTTTACAACGTTGCCTTGCTGGAAGCCATTGTTGATGAGGTTTGCATTCTGCTGATTGACTCCTGTTGTAAACCCACTTTGCTGCTGGCTTACTGGATTGATGAACGTGTTTCCCTGTTGAAGCCCACCATTGACAAAACCGTTTTGTGAGAAGCCTCCATTGTTCACATTGGCTTGCTGGACGCTGCTTCCAAATACAGTGCCCTGCTGGAAGCCGTTGTTGATGAATCTTGTCTGCTGATTCCCTGTGATGATGTTGCTCCCTAGCTGAGAGGATGTGCCTAAGGAGTTTCCCTGGGCAGGGAAGACTTGTCGCACGGGTCCCAAACTGGAGGACACTCCACCATTGGTCAGAGGCCCTACCTGGACAGTCTGGAGTCCAGACGACGGCGTCACAAACTGCTGAGAGTTTTGGATACCGTTAAACGTGTTCTGATTTGAGAGCGTTCTCAGTGGAAGTCTGCTCTGTCCACTGGAGTTTTCAATCGCGTTCGTCGTTAGTGCGTTTACCCGATTCTGGTTTGAGAACCCCTGAGAGTTGACCTTGACCGGAGCGCGGGAGAGACTAGCGACACCTATATTACCAGTGGCGCCACCTTTAGCCACACTCTGCTGTGTGTTGCTAAGCGGTAGTGGTCTAAACTGGTTACTGGGCGTCGCCTGTGAAAACACTGGCCTCAGCGTAGTCACAACTTGTGGCTGAATTGGCCGCCTTTGAATCGTAATTTGACCGCTGTGTGCGCCACCTGCCGGCCGTTGAATTCCATTATAGGTGGCGCCAGTTGTCTGCGACGACGGTTGCACGGACGGTCGCGATATAGGTCTGGAAGAGGCCGTAACCGGTTGCGCCTGCGAGTACCCCAAACTGTTCTGAATCTGTCTCACGCGAGATGGAGCCATGGGCTGGAAGGAGTTGAACGTTGGCTGGGGAGCAGCAAAGTTGGCAGCTTGTTGTGGACGACTGGACGTCCCACTATAAGCATTTGATCCCGTGTTGACGCTGTTGAAGCGGTTGCCGGAAGAACTGGCGTGTCCCTGACCGGAGGCACCTCCGAATGAGTGACCTCCAGAGGTCTGAGCTCCGGAGGAGTAGCCAGAGTGGTCTGCCGAATGGCTCGGTGATGGGCCCGAGTGGAAGTCGCCGGATGAGGACCCTCCAGAGTATCCTCCGGAGCTGGAGGATCCTCCGGAGTATCCTCCGGAACTGGAGGAGAAGCCGGAGTCGTAGTCGTTAGTCCACTCCTCCTCCTCCTCCCAATCTGACTCCCAGCCGGAGTCTGAGTAATCTGAAAAACAAATAATAACACCCATCAATGACCCAATCATACGCATATACGTGTACACTTATAACATTACGATTCGATTAGTCGTGCACCGTTCATCGGTTTCAACTAACAAAATTGACTTGCTTTTAAATTGCGATTAAGAACGGCTTAGTTCGAAAACAATAAAGCTTTGCTCGCTCAATTAAAATGTTCTGGGAAATATTGAAAGCTAAATGTGTAACACAAATGAGCAGCCTCATTTAGACAAGCTTTGAAATCTGTCTAAGAACAGCCAAAGTTCGGTAAAGCACGGACTAACTAGACGTTTGGACATCCCACGTCATAAATCACGAGACCTAAACAACCCAACGACAGATCATTTTCCTCGTCACAAACCTTCTTTTCATCATCGACAAACTGTTCCTTCTATCTCTCCCCTCCCAATTCTGTGCCGCACTGCCGATCAAAAGGTACTCTTCTTCAAACACATTGCGAAATAGCCGCACATCCATGGCTCCTCAGCCTCTATTTATCAGTCTACCTGGAAGCAATCGTCACTCCTACAAGCTGTGGTGTGGTGACGCGCGTTGCCATTACGCTGTAGTGATATTTCATCGGAGCGGCGCCTTGGGCTGGCCGGTTTCACCTCCCTCCCCCCTCCTCTCCCTCCCCTCGCCTCCCCAGCGCTCAGCACATGGTCCGTTGTGGGGCTATTGTTCTGCGTTGCGGTGCGTTTTCTGCGAGAATGCGCACGGTGCCGTGACAGGCAAGGGAAACCGACGAAGATAGACTGGCTCATAAATACGAGAGCTCCAATTGATCGTTGTATGATTTGTATCGTGTAATGTCATGCCCTTGTAGATGCGCCCACAAAAAAGTATAGCTGTAGGTAATAGATTAGTGCCTACGACTGATTATACGCTCAGCTTAGCACACCTCATCTTGATTTTTGATCATTTTTTCCCAATTTCGGGGTGTCAGAGACATTCAAGCAGCTTGAACTTTGGGGAAAGTGATTGGGAAAATGCATCCATTCATGAGGATGAGGCACAATCTGGTTTTGAGCAATAATTTCTCCGAGAATCAATAGCGCAACGGCAGACTGTCGAATCGCAACTGGCACGATATCGACCCTGATCGAATCGAAACTGACACGAGCTATCGAGCATGTCTATCTAAGATCAGATCTACTGGCGCACGTGTATGAAATTACGGCTGTAGGTATTATAACAGCGAGCAACGGACATGATCTTTTATCTCCGAGAAGACCTCTCCCACCCCAGGCATAACCTTTGGTCACGCGACTTTTAACTGCTCACACGCAATGCTACGCAGTATGCCTCACGTGTAACCGCATAATATCGTCATCAGTTTTGATTAGTGGGGGAATTGGCTAGTCTTCATCTGAAGTCGCCTCTAGTCGTGGCTGATAACGACTCCATCACCACGTTCCATCAACGCTTAACTTATAACTCAACTCGTAACTCCCCACCTAACCCACGACGACCGCTGCCCCCTATCACCTATCGAGACGACCTTCGTGACGTCACTGGCGACCACTGTGACGTCATCAGCGGAAGTTACGAGCGAAAGTGAGTCTGTGTTCGTCTCCCACCCGGGGTTACGGCGCCGCCCGCACCGAGGTCAAAGGTCAGGTTTCGGTGGGCCGAAGGGCGGGTTGGAACGGGCAGAGTCGGACGGCCAAGATGGACGGGAGCACGGCTGGGAGGTGGAGCAGGTGCTTGGAAAATATTTATGTAGCTTTGGGAACACTCGTAAGTACCGTGACTAGAGATGTCAATCGGATACCAACTTTTTGGTATACCGATACCAAACCGATACCAACTCGGTATTTGGTATTTCAATCCTAATGTGTTTGGTATTTTGTTGGTATCATGAACCCTCGCTAATTAGCGAGGGTTCATGATACCAACAAAATGTTTAAACATTAATGTTTAAGAGGCTAAGAAATCGGTAAAAAGTTGGTATTTATCTTATGTTCCCAAGTTGGTTTGGTTTCGGTATTTCTCCACGGTTTTGGTTGGTATTTGGTTTGGTATCGGTATTCCGATTTTCCGTAATTGACATCACTAACCGTGACATTGTGTATGATGCTGTGGAAGAGGTAGGCGGAGGGTTCACGTCGGCCTATGGAATGTTGTTATTTGTGAATGGCAGTAATGCCAAGTGGTATATCTTCTAGAATAGCAAGTAGGTATGCTAAAAACGAAAAAGAAAGAAAATACAGTTTTATTTCTCATGGCTGCAAAATATTTTTCAAAACTGTATTGCGCGACTATATGTAGTCTGTTGTTCCATATCAAGCTTGTGGCCGGAGTTCCTTCAGCAGTTAGCGCCTCCGTTTAATAATTTACGTCTTTAAATGCAGAAGCTGTATGTACAGAAACCATGCACTGCAGGGCACTTCAGCCGCAAGCGTGACATAAAACAGAGTATAGTGAAGGCATCATTGAAAGTTTTATGAACCTATTCTATGAAATGTTTTAACCCTCGCCCGCACATGCCATTTTCCCATCCTAGAACGCACATGGGGGAGGGGGTTGCCACCCCCGCCCCGCGCCATTTCGTTCCTGTTGGAGATAGAGCTTCGCGGCAAAGACCAAAAAGATTTTTGGGAAGAGATGAATCCAATGATACCCAGTTTTACCTTCTCAGGTCAGTCATTGACCTTCCAGGTCAGGTTAAACTAAAAAATGTTGCTGTTTTGTGTCACCGTTGGATATCAAGTGCGAGCTGCTTATCATATACCGATGACGATGCCGTTTTCTGGTGCCAAGCCAGCTAGAACCTCTTTGTCACACTACCCGACCAGGTTTTTGCTGCTGAGGTCATTTCAGGTCAAGTTAGGTCAAGGTCAATGATATGTGTTTGTATGTCTGTGTGCGTCTGTGTGCATACGGATGTGTGCACCGATTGTTTATGTGTCCATATTACAAGAAATCATGATCTGAGAAGCTTTTACCAAAAATGCAGTTAAAAAAAACTTCACGAAAAGTAAATTCAGCTTGCCTAAAACGCAATTATTTTACATGACCTAGGTTGACCTTGACCCTGACCTTGACATCTGTACATCGTTGAACAACATGTTCCACGATAGGTGGGAGGTAAGACTGGCAAAAAAGGCCGAAATCAAGGCGTCAAAAGCTCACAAGGCCCATAGCCAACGCAAGATGTTGAGAATTGGTTTCTTTAGAACATCTGAAGTTGAACATACCTACAACTGAGACTGCAGAAACAAATAGCTTGCACCTTCGGCCCTTCAAGAATGTTTGCTGCCGGAGTACGTGAGTACCTAAAGTATTAATGTCATCGATTTACCTTCGTAACCGCCACCCCTGTCATAGCCGCCGTCGTAGCCTCCACCGAAGCCCCCGTCGTAGCCTCCACCGAAGCCTCCATCATATCCTCCATAGCCTCCATAGCCACCGTGGTTGTGCTTTGTTGTGATCTCATTCGCGAGATCTATCAGTTTGTAGCCTTTCTGCGTCAGCAAGTGGCCTGCCAGAGGAGAAAACGCGTCATTTTAGGGTCGTCAGGATGTAAATCAGATATGCTTATGTAAGAATAAGGACAATATGCTGCTTATGGGCACATCTAATTGCAAGCATTAAGTTCTTTGTTAAAAAAAAATACCAGAAAAGCAGCATTATATGGCAGAACATAATCAATTTGTTAGAAAAGAGAACTTATTCCGTGTAAATTTCAGCCTTACTTATTGATAATTAAGCAATATGTTTTCGTCAACTCCTGTTACTTTTTTATTTCAAGAAGCAACTTTGAAACACGAGGATTTGTAAAGAAAATAGTTATAAGTCGTATCAAACAAAGTCTTGTTTCGGGCAAGAAATCTTGATCTCCATGTAAGGCATCCCATGCGACACGCTTCATATTTTATATGAATTTCTTGCTTCGACTTACCTCCTTTTCGCAGGAGCTCTCCTTTTATCCGTATGAATGGCTCTTTCACTTTTGTTATTATCTTCCCAAGCTTATGCTTGAGATTATACAAGAAATTCTTCTTTTTGGAGAAAATGGCGCCGAAGTCGAAGCCCTTGCCGCCGCCATAGCCGTGCTGGCCGCCTCCATAGCTGCTATAGCCTCCCTGCAAGAAAAGAAAACATCTCAGGTTATACATAAGCAAACTAAGCAAGTCGCATGTTGAGATCCTGTAGTCAATTATCATGTGTCGTTCTTGACCCCCAGGAGGACCAGCCTCCCGGATAATCGCGATCCCAGGTGAGAAGTTCTGGTGAGTCTAATTCCGCCGAGGTGTCAGCCCAGTTGGGTGGCTCTTTCCTCGAAACTATCTCACACTTACTGCCCAATACTGCAATGTTTTGCTACCCAGTACTGCAATGTTTGATTATAGCTGTCACGTTTACGCTGCTCGTTGCGACGCGGAATTAGGAAAAGCTCCCCAATCGTGTTTGAATGACCCGTGCCCGAACAAAACCGGACCAAAGGTCTGACCGTGACAGGACTCGAACCTGCAATCTCCTGATCCGAAGTCAGGCGCCTTATCCATTAGGCCACACGGCCACGGAAAACGTTGAGGAGTTCCCTTGATATATGAATAGCTATAACTTACTGAATGGTAGTGATCTGCTGACGTCAAGACGACGAAGACCGTTGTTAGCAACAAGAACCGTAGCATCTGAAACATAGAAACAAAATACCAATAATCAGTGACATTAGACCTAACAGCGAGAGGAGGCAGGCTTTGAGCGTTTCCTGTCCGCACGTTTTCATTTCTCAATCCCGAAAATAGCAATCCAATAACAGTAAAATGGAAAAACCATCCTTTCACTTCATTATGTAATGCGTTGCGAAATATCAATCAGTGAAGATCTCACGAAGACCTCATGCGTCTCGAATCATTGAGACAGCACTGCATGGTTATCCAGACATCTGACAAGCCAGCCACCTTACGACGCCATCCCGATCCCGGGGCGTGGGCAGTGGGCCCCAGAGGTCATGCTCAGGTCACAGAGGTCATCCAGGTCACGGGGTCAGGTACCGACACTAGAACGTCCGGTGAGTCTGCCTCGGCAGGTATCAAGAAAAGCGACAGTGGAACAGTGGGTGTGGTAGGAGGGGAGGGGCGGCAGCGGATAATAGGACGTAAAGAAAACCGAATGACATCCCGTGCCAGCCCGGGTAGTGGTGGGGGACCATGGGAAGCAGCCTGTAAGACAGATGGTCGTCTGGTGAGGAGTCGGAGGTAAAGCACGGACCACACCAGGCATTGTTTGGACTGGTCTGAAAGGGAAAGCTACCCGGGTGGTAGGATCGCTGGTTTGTTTGAGTTGATTGATTGGAGCGCCTTGTGTGGATGGAATGTGGTATAAGATAGAAGTTCAGGAAAGGAAGAGGATGGCAGTAAGAGGAGATAGCGATACTCCGATTGCATTGTTGACGTAAAGTGTAATGGTTTCCCGATGTATGTAAATGACTCTTAGAGGAAATGATGGACAAGTTATTTGCAAACGTAACCCTAAACCCATGATATGATTAAATGACTAGTTTTAAAATGAAACTATTTTACGATCAGTTGGATCTGACTTGAACTCAAAAATCTTAAAAAATCTTACCTATTTCTATGGAATAACACGTTACTATTATGAAGCGACGTTAAACGCTGACCCATCGATCAATGTACCACCCTGCGTTTTCAATTCCACTAGGGCTAGTTCCCAGGAGAAAGTTGAGCAAATGGTCATATGATGCAGATCAGTGGTAAAATTATTAGCCGAGAAACACCGCATGGTGTTTGAAGACGGCAAATGACCTCAGCTAATGGTTATAATAGGGGCCTCGCCAAAAGTTAATCGTTGATGATTTCAGCGTCCATGGACTATAAGGAATTAAGAGTACCTAATTTTTATCAAAGCCCAGGGAAGGGGAGTTGTGCTTTTAGCGATTACCTGTTGAACCTCTAGTATCAGTATACCGGGGAATAGTTATTTGTCCAGACTTATTATCTTATATTGCTTGTTATTTGCGAGCCAGGGTGTGTAATATAGTCTTGTAAATTGAAAATGTGGGTGGTTGTGGGGGCGCTCAGGGACAAATTCGATGTTACATCTGTTTGCTTGCCTGTAGGTTTGTCTGTCCTTGTCTGTCTGTCTGTCTGTCTGTCTGTCTGTCTGTCTGTCTGTCTGTCTGTCTGTCTGTTTGTTGTCTGTTTGTCTGTCTGTCTGTTGTCTGTCTGTCTTTCTTTCTTTCTTTCTTTCTTTCTTCTTGCCATGTTCGTCTGTCAGTCTGCCTGTCTGTTGTCTGTCTGTCTTCCTTCTTGCCATGCTTGTCTGTCATTTTGTTTTCAAATGTTAACAAAGGTCTGTCCGTGTGTCTGTCTGTCGTCCATCTCTTCATCCATTCGTCCATCTATTCATCCCGTTCATCTATCCATCTCGTTCGTCCTTGAAGCCTCGCTCGGGCCCTGCCTCCGATGAATTGAGGCGCTGTTTTCACTGCTCACGCCTGCCGCCGGCCACCAGCCTAGTGACGCCAGCTGGCGCGCGCAGCGGCGAAACCGGCGCACTAGTCACAGCTGCGCCGCGGCGCGACCGCCGCATGCAGGCGGCTCGATTGTCTCAGCATGCGACAAACAGTTCAGCTTGTAAGCGTCAGCGAGCTAGGAACGGCAAATGAGTCGGTATGGCCAGTGGTATGCGGGTGTTGCAAGTAGAAACACGCCCTACGAATATGTGTATAAATTGGAGAAAATGAGGTTATTTGCTATGACGAATGCAGATGGAGCGCCGAACAAGGTCACAAGACAAAAGTAGTAATTGACTTGTCGTCCGTATAGTCTTGGGCGCCGTTTCTTTCCTATCAATTTCTGGTATTCATATTTCATAATATTTTATATTAAATCCACCCAACGTCCTTTTGCGATTTCTGTCTCTTGTAGTCTGGAACACCCAATCGAGCATATGTTCGACATCAATCGAATTCGATTGGTTTGTAATTACGGGTTATTACGAGTTTGTGGTGACGTCGACTTTCTATACCGTATAATTTCAGTATTTCGTCCGGTAGTTACCGTGAAGCTTAAGCAGAAATCACAAGTATTGATGCTTATCACAGTTTGGTTTTATAAGTTGGTATTGTCCATGTCATGGAGCTGACGTTGATTGTGATAAAAAAGAAAAACGAACAGTTTGAAGCATCAATTCTAGCTATAACCACTGCGCCATGCTTTGGCTTACTTGAAACACATAAGGACTACGCATAACTTATCACTCATATTGGTGTAAGATTTATGTTACTTTCCATCGAAGCAGCATGCCGGTTGCCGGCCTATGTATTTCGGATATTCATACTCTTCACTGTATGTCGTAACTAACCAGTAACCATGGTGCCAAATGCCAATCGACTATCATCGAACTGCCCAAATGCAAATAACGGCGCTGCCTTTGATTACTAAACGGACCATGCCAGGTAATGACAGCCATTTTAGATTTATTCCGCAAAACGCGTGTTTGACAGAAGTTTCATTTGCCGCTTTCACCTACTAAGAAAACCACGCTGAGACTCATGAATTCGCAGCGTATGTTAATTGGTGTTAACGTCAACACGGTTACACATACCGGGAAACGGAGCCTGTCAGGGAACACATAACTGTGTGACCTTTGACCCTGTGACGTCACCAATGTGTCAGCCAATGACGAAACAGGGTCAGGTGGCGCCTGACCCGTGCGTTGTGAGAACTGGTGTTCAGCGATAGGTGTAAGGAAGTAGTTGTGGTCTCAGCTGCTTCAGCTGCTGCCTGCTGCACTGAAGCTAGTTGGAATTTTGGAAGGAACATGGTTTAAAGATGAATGGCATTTCAGGCTGTCGGGGGGGGGGGGGGAGTGAATACGGTAGAAATGGAAAGAATGCAGGTTGTGTGTTTGGATGGATAATATTTTTAGTAAAGGCACTATTTTTAATTGGAACGAGACTATAAAAAATGAATGCATCTCTCTGCGAATTCGAAAAGCTACCTTCAGGATCTTTTTCAGAAATATTCATAAGATTAGAAATGGTTGGCAATTTGTGGCAATCTTATGAGGATAGGTTTCAGCGTGAAGCCGGGCAGAGAATATGCCACCCCTCCCTCCACCCCAGCAGGTCACGTTCGGCTGAATACCCCAGCAGGGTGCAGGTTAAAGGTAGTGTGCCAGCTTTCTTGGACCGTATGGAGTTAATGGCCCAGATAAGGAGAACCGGATTTTTAGAACTTATCCATACCTTCAAAACTCATGGAAACGTCTTAAATTCTTCAAATTTTGAGTACCCCAGTGCAAAATTCGCCCCGACGGGTTGTCGGTCGTACCCCAACCACATTTCACACCACTATGAACAATAAATGCACACACTGAAATCGCTATTACCGATATGCTCATCCAATCAAGTTTCGATAAACCCGTTCATCATCATCTCCTGCGGTTTCGAACACGCCTGTTAGGTGGCTTCTGATGCTCGTCGAGGTCGGAATTTCCAAATACGCGTGGTGCGTCGAGCCGCGCGCTCTGACTTCGGCCAAGAAAAATGCGTCAGCTGATCATTGTCATTTCTGCCACTTGCGTGTGGTGAAATGGGGTCATAACTTATAAGACGGCTTTTTCATATCAATTATTTTACATAAAATCATATTTCAAACCATAAATAATGTTCGACAGCCAAATAAAAGAAACAATACCAATACGGGCTTACAGTTTAAGGCTCGACATTGTGTTGTCTACGATTAGACAGCTGATAACTCATTCCCGTACGTCGTATGGTCGTAACACTATAATGACCTTTGCTTATTGTCACAAGTGCGCCGCATTCGCGATTGTTGCCCGACGCCTGTTTGCAGGTGAGCCCACTACAGTTGTTATACATATCTAAAAACCGAAAAACTTTTAGGCGAAAAAGGCACTATTCCAGGCCCATTTTTGATTTTTTTGCGATATTAGGTAAAAACAGAAGCTTCTTATCCTAGGAAAAATAAAATGGGAAATCTTTCAAAGGTGGCACACTACCTTTAAGGCTCGACATTGTGTTGTCTACGATTAGACAGCTGATAACTCATTCCCGTACGTCGTATGGTCGTAACACTATAATGACCTTTGCTTATTGTCACAAGTGCGCCGCATTCGCGATTGTTGCCCGACGCCTGTTTGCAGGTGAGCCCACTACAGTTGTTATACATATCTAAAAACCGAAAAACTTTTAGGCGAAAAAGGCACTATTCCAGGCCCATTTTTGAATTTTTTTTTTGCGATATTAGGTAAAAACAGAAGCTTCTTATCCTAGGAAAAATAAAATGGGAAATCTTTCAAAGGTGGCACACTACTTTTAAGCTAATCCGACAAAATATTACACTCAGCTGTATTTCTATTTGACTTTTAGATTTAGCATGCCTGGGTTTTGTTCCTTTACCTAACTCAAACTCCACGGAAGCGTTTAGCAAGGCACCGGTAATGCTACACGCCTCCAGTGACGTAATACCCGGCTGTGCGCAGCTGTGCCCCGCTCCCGCCCGCCCTCATGACCCCCAAACCCTCAGTGGCAGAGGTCAGGACACCGGCACGATGAGAAGATTGTCTCAACCGCGCCATTAATAGAGCGGCGGCGTACGCGACGCGCTGTTACTCCAATAGCGGCCAACGCGACGCACTTTCA